ATTAAGGAATATAGGTATTAGCACTTCTTGGAAGTTCTGGTAGAATTCTGCATTAAAACCATCTGGTCCTGGGCATTTTTTCGTAGTGGGTTTTTGATGACAGCTTCTAATTCCTCGTGACTTATAGGTCAATTTAAATTGTTCACCAGGTTTTGATTTAATTTTGGTATACGGTACTTATCTAAAAAAAAATGTCCATTTCTTTTACGGTTTCCAATTTGTGGCATACAGGCTTTTGTAGTAAGATCTAATGATTCTCTGAATTTCTTCTGTTTGTGATTATGTCCCCCTTTTCATTTCTGATCTTGTTAATTTGCATGTTCTCTCTCTGCTGTTTGATTAATTTTGATAGGGGTTTGTCAATCTTATTGATTTTCTCCAAGAACCCACTCTTTGTTTCATTGATTCTTTGGATTGTTTTCTGTGTTTCTATTTTGTTGATCTCAGCCCTCAGTTTGATTATTCCTAGTCTTCTACTCCTGGGTGAGTCTGCTTCTTTTTTTCTAGAGCATTCAGGTGTACTATTAAGTCTCCAATGTGAGCTTTCTCTGTTTTCTTTATGTGGGTACTTAGAGCTATGAACTTTCCTTTTAGCACTGCTTTCATAATGTCCATAGGTTTGGGTATATTGTGTCTTTATTTTCATTGAATTCCAGGAAGACTTTAATTTCTTTCTCTGTTTCTTCCTTGACCCCGGGGTGGTTCAGTAATTGAACAAGTTTCCGTGTTCAGTTTCTGCTACATCCACGGCTGTCTTGCCAGTGTAGCAGAAATGCTGACTAGGCAGGCAAGTGTTTCCAGAGGATTGGGATTTGTGCTTCTCGGAGCTGTGTGTTCCAGACGGTCCCTTGGCAATCAGTTGTGGTGTAATGCCACCTGAGTCGCCATTTGTATTGACTCGACCTGACTGTCCTTGGAAGCCATATGTGTGTCTTTTTCTTTGTCTGTGTGTTCTTTGTGACCCTTGCATATTGCTAACAGATCAGACTATTCCAGGCAATTGCGGATACAAACAAGACTGCTGAGGACTCTTTTGAATTCTGCTCCACTATTAATTAAAGCCTTAAAAGAAGTAGCCAGTTCTGGGAATTGGAAGGGTCATCATTAGGACAATTCCTTGATGATGTGGAACAAAAGGAGTTAATTTTACTAGGAAAAACCTTAGAAGCTTTAGGCATTTTGCCTGAGAAATATGTACAGTTGTAAATAGAAGGCCTATGAAACCTTTCTTATGGGAAGAAAAAGACCTAGCCTAAGCTGACAATATCTGAGCCTGAGAATTGAGAAGGGAGGAGAGTTGAGGTTAGTGATATAAAGTAAACTTCAGAGAGATTCAAGACTATATATAAGAAATTTCCTAGCAGAAAGCTTTCCCAGGGAGATAGTAGCCTTTTTCTTTCTCACCCAGGCACACAAGGTCACTTAGCTCAAATCAACCAGCCACCTGCAAGCTGATAAAGATGGTCTAGCTCAAGGACAGTGGTCTCTTTGAAGGGAAGAGGAGAGTGTTTTGTAAAGTGTGAGAGAGCAGAAGTCCTTGTGCCCAAGTCAAAGCATCTTCAAAGATTCTTTTTGTAAACTGTTTTATGCTGTTCTTTTCTGTTCTATGATTTGATGATGTATGCCTTTTCCAAGTTCTTTGATTGTAAAAAAATATATAATCCTGCACTGAAAATAGTAAAACGCAGCAGCATTTTCAAAATACATTGAGAGTGACTGCCTGTCATTCCTCCGCCATATCCCGATTTCTCCTGTTCTTCGTCCTGTTCCCTCACAGTCTGAGGAGCTCCCCTGAACCGGTCCGTAGCAAGTTTCCACGAGTTTGTAGGCTTTCTGGGATTAGAATTGTTGTTGAATCCTAATTTTATTCCATGGTGATCCAATAGTACACAGGTGGTTACTACAACTTTTTTGTATCTGTGGATGTTTGCTTTGTTACTGATTATGTGATCAATTTTTGAGAAGGTTCCATGAGATGCTGAGAAGAAGGTATATTCTTTTCTGTTTGGGTAGAATGCTCTACAGATGTCTGTTAATTCCATTTGGTTCACTACATCTGTTAGTTCTCTTATTTCTCTGTTAAGTTTCTGTCTGGATTACCTGTCCATTGGTGAGAGAGGAGTGTTGAAATCTCCTACTGTTAGATTGTGGGGTTTGATATGTGCTTTGAGTTCTACTAATGTTTCTTTTACATATGTGGGTACTTTTATATTAGGGGCATAGATAGTCAGGATTGAGACATCCTCCTGATGAATTGTTCCTGTTATGAGTATAAAGTGTCCACCTCCATCTGTTCTGGTTGATTTTAGTTTGAAATCAATTTTCTTAGATATGAGTAGAGCCACACCCACTTGTTTCTTAGGTCCATTTAATTGGAAAACCTTTTCCCAACCTTTACTCTGAGGTAGTGTCTGTCTTTGAGGTTGAAGTGTGTTTCTTGTAAACAGCAGAATGTTGGATCCTGTTTTTGTATCCATTCTCTTAACCTGTGCCTTTTTATAGGTGAATTGAGTCCATTGATATTAGGTGATATTAATGACCAGTGGTTTTTAACTCTGGTTATTTTTTTTTCTTGGTGGTAGTGTTTGTGTATTTCCCTTCTTTGAGTTGTGCTGGTGGAGGGTTGTCAGATATCTGTGTTATTATGGGTGTTGTTCGCTTCTTTGGTTTGTGGTTTTCCTTCTAGTACTTTCTGTAAGGCTGGTTTTGTGGCTATGTATTGTTTAAATCGTTTTTTGTCCTGGAATATCTTGTTTTCTCCATCGATGGTGAATGCAAGCTTTGTTGGATATAGTAGTCTGGGTTTGCATCCATAGTCTCTTAGTGTCTGCAGCACATCTATCCAAGACCTTCTGGCTTTCATGGTTTTCATTGAGAAGTCAGGTGTAATTCTGATAGGTTTCCCTTTTTATGCTACTTGACTTTTTTCCTTTGCTGCTCTTAATATTCTTTCTTTATGCTGTATGTTTTATGTTTTGATTATTATATGGCGAGGGAATTTTTTTTCTTTTGAACCAGTCTATTTGGTGTTCTATATGCTTTTTGTACCTTCATAGGAATGTCTTTCTTTAGGTTGGAAAAGTTTTCTTCTATAATTTTGTTGAATATATTTTCTGGGCCTTTGAGCTGTAATTCATCTCCTTCTTCTACCCCTATTATTCTTAGATTTGGTCTTTTCATGATGTCCCAGATTTCCTGGATGTTTTGTGTTAAGAATTTGTTGGATTTGCTGTTTTCTTTAATCAGTGAGTTTATTTCCTCTATAGTATCTTCAGTGTCTGAGATTCTTTCTTCTATCTCTTGAATTCTGTTGGTTATACTTGTCTCTGTAGTTCCTGTTCATTTACCCAGATTTTCCATATCCAGCCATCCCTTGATTTGTGTTTTCTTCATTACCTCCATTTCATTATTCAAGTCTTAAACGGTTTCTATTACCTGTTTGATTGCTTTTTCTTGGATATCTTTGAGAGATTTATTCATTTCTTGCAACTTTTTGTTTGTCTTCTCCATTCTTTAAAAGGAGTTTTTCACATCCTGTTTAAGGGCCTCTATTATTTTCATAATGTTACTTTTAAAGTCGATTTCTTCTACTTTTTCTGGAATAGGGTGTTCAAGTCTTCTTGTTTCGTGTTCACTGGATTCTTGCATTGTCATGTTGCTTTTCAGGTTGCTGAAGGAATTCTTGCATTGGAGCCTGCCCATCTCTTCCTTCAAATGCAGGCAGGAGAGTCTTGGCATCGTGGTCCAATCTTTGCTGTGACTGACTGTGTACTTGAGGAATTTTCTTGGTCTGGCCTCTCTTAGGGCCCCTTGGCACTGGAGCCAGTCGTGCTGGTGGATCTAAGGACCCGCAGATGGAAAGGAGTACCCTCTGACTGGATCTCCTCAGTGCAGGAGCAGGAACTGTTCCTGGGCCAAGGACCTTGCAGACAACAGGGAACCAAGAAGCCCCTGTAGCAGGAGCTGGAGGGGCCCTGTACTCCCTTCTGGACTGTCCAGCCGGGCAGGCACACACTCACCCCTCTGGATGGATCTCCTTAGCACAGGAACAGGTTCTCCTGGTAGGCCAAGGACCCTGCAGACAAAAGGGCGAACTTGGCGGGGACAGGGTTGTGTAGAACAAAGAAACCCCTGCAGCAGGAGCTGGAGGTACCCTGCACTCCCTTCCGGGGACCTTCCGGCTGGGCAGTCCAAGAACCCCCTGCAGACTAAAGGGCAAACTTGGGGGGGAGGGCAGGGTCGAGCGGAACACAGAAGACCCTATAGCAGAAGCTGAAGGTGTCCTGCATTCCCTTGAGGGGACCTTCCGGCCTGCCTGGCCAGCAGACACTCACCTCTCTGGGTTGATCGCCTTGGTACAGGAGCAGGAACTGTTCCTGGGTCAAGGATCTTGAAGACAACAGAGCAGGCTTGGGGGAGGCAGGGTCGTGTGGAACAAATAAGCCCCTGCAGCAGGAGCTGGAAGGGCTCTGTGCTCCATTCAGGACCGTCTGCTCGGGGTGGGTACATACTCACCCCTCTGGATGAATCTCCTCAGCACCTGTCTATAATCTTTGTAAGGGTGTTACGTCAACTGTGTTCACTGCTTGGCGGCGAGAGCTTTGCACAATGCCTAGAGCACAGTAAGTGACTATAAATATATGTTGAATGAATAAACAATAAGAAGAGAAACAAAAATCAATCAATAAATAATGCAGATTTGTGCATAGCTGACTGATAAAATATAGACTAGAAATAAATTGGAGAAAAAAAATCAGTTTAAATTTTGGAATTTTGGTTTGAGAAACATGAAGAACATTTTCATTTTCACTATAAGTTAGATTCCATATGTATCATTTCAGCTCCATAAAGGTATAACTTAAGTTATAAAACTGTGATTCAATAGTACATGAAGAACAGTGGGGCGTCACATGGAAGTAGCTGCCCCGGAAGTAATAAGTAATGCCCGTAAGCGTCATAGCAGGCAAACCGGAAGTGACTGAAGCGGAGTCCTGCGCAGTCAGAAAAGAAAGTCGTTGCCGTGTGTACGCTCCTGAGCGCTGGGTGAAGACTAAAAATATGAAGAAAAACTGGTCCCGTGAAGACAAGTTCTATGAAAATTCTGGCTGTTCTTCGCAAGATCCACAAACAAGCTACCAATAGTAAGTTTATAGAAATATTTGATTCAAAGTTTAGAAGTCAGTCAGGGCCTTGTTGGGATTAACTGCTTTAAAAAATGGCGCAGAGAGTGGGGGGAGGGTACTGAGACCAGTTTGTCACGGCGGCATTTTCATTACTTGAACTTAAATCATAGCTAGTCACTGGTTAATCACTGTTTAAATAATGTGATGGTAAAAAATAACCTTTAACTCATAGTTTCCATAAACAATTAAAAATGCATAGAAAAACGCTTGTTCGTTTTTGTTTTGTTTTGTTTTTGGCTTTTGGGGGAGTGCTTGACATTTAATTCCCTCAGTGTGGAGAGAGTAAGTAAAATATATGTGTTTTAAACAGCAGAAATTTTTTAGGCATTCAACTAAGGCATTAGTAACAGAGACACAGAATGAAGAATATTCTAGAACTTTAAGCGGTGTTCCAGCCCCTCGTGCAATAGGCGGTTTTTCTTATCCTTTTCTCAAGTTCTGCCCCCTTTTTTATTGGCTACTAACCTAGGTTATTCCGTTTCTCATTGGCCTGCCTCCTGGAATAAAGCCATCCCCGTAACTGGGCCCTTTATTTTTAACTTGTACCAGGGCAGGTAGCTGGAAAATTGAGATGCATTTGTTTTCCGTGTTAAGATTGCAAGAATAAGGTGTTTGTTTTTATGGGAGTGAGGTGGAGGTTATTTTGTTTTTACATTGTTTTGTTGGGATTTTTTGGATGATTTATTTTTGGTTTTGTCTGTTTCTCTCCTTTATGCTAAGCGAACTGTGTGCAAGTAATTAAAACAGATGGGTGGAATGGGTTGAAACTAAAGGGAACTGCTGCTTAACATTGGAACATTGGGGTGATTTTAACATAGGGATACAATGGGCAGGTTGAAAAATACGTGCCTTTTGCAGGTTTCATTTTCTTGCTAAACATTTCATCCTAGGCCGGGCGGTGGTGGCGCACGCCTTTAATCCCAGCACTTGGGAGGCAGAGGCAGGCGGATCTCTGTGAGTTCGAGGCCAGCCTGGTCTACAAGAGCTAGTTCCAGGACAGGCACCAAAAACTACAGAGAAACCCTGTCTCAAAAATCAAAAAAAAATTAAAATTAAACATTTCATCCTTTCACAGTCAAAGTAGCCAGATGTGTGAGGACGTGGTGAAACCCCAGCAGGAGCATAACATTTCAAGCACCCCGATGGCCATGGCTGTGGTGAGTGTGTGACATCATGGGGTGCTAAGGAGCTAGGGCCTGGGCAGCAGAGGGAAGGGAAGGCACAAGTGGAACTTGAATACAAAGCAAGGAGCTTGGACACCTGAGCAAGTGGCAAATCAGAGTCTGGTCTGCCAGTCAGGGGGATGGGACTTGCGCCCCCTCCCCCACTGTCTTGGAAAAGATCACAGGTGGGAGGGTGGGAGGCTCAACCGTTTAATGGCGTAGAGTGTCAGCCTTTCTTTGGACATTTTAAAAGTTAGAATCTCCTGATCACACTCACAAAGGATGGCGATTAATTTTAATTTAAAAGAAATATAACTTCTCAGTAAAAGGTGGGGGCAAAGTTACTTAAGGGATCTTTTTGCAAGACCACTCTGAGGAGTTTAATTTCTTGGTTTTTGCAATTCATTTACAAACACCAGTGAATGGTTATGTAAGAAAAATTTCTGAGTGAGGCCACTTTCATGTCATACTTAAAAAAAAAACAAAACTAACTCACTTTTGAGTTTGGTCCTAAGTTGAAACTCAGCAGTGACTGTCCACCCCTCACACCTTGTTTCTACCCACACTCACCACTCACCCTTAAGTTACTATCCCTATGGTATCCTTTTGTAGGTGAATGGTTTATAAAACACTGAGGTGTTGTTTTTTTTTTTTTTTTTTTTTTTACTTAGTTGCCGAGCAAAGATCCTAGAGTTATATGTGAAAAGTGAAAAAAAAGACAGATGAATAAGATCTAAAGACATATACCTAAAACTAGCAGCAGATTGCTTTTAAAACTGAATGTATTTGTGCCTTAACCTTTATAATACTCAAATTTATGTGATAGTTAATTTCATATGTAGCTTTATAGTGATGAATATAGATCAACAACTTCTGATGTATATTTCATGCTTGTGGAGGATTGGTGGAATTATGATTATTTACCTTTGTGAAAATTTTCTTGTAGGATTTTAAAACTTATGTGGAGCAAGCATGTAGAGCTGCTGAGGAGTTCATCAATATTTACTATGAGACAATGGACAAAAGAAGACATGTGAGTTTTTTTAGTTTCTCTTGCTCTTTGTTTAAGTACTATTTCTGTGTTTAAATATCATTTATCTGACCTACATAAGTAATTACTGTACACACATTCTTTAAGAGTTGTTTTTATTTTGTTACAGTTTTGTGGGTTCTTTTTCTCTTTTGGTGTTCTTTTATTTTGTTTTCTTGGTTTGAATTTTTTGTTGTATTGGATTTTTGTTTTTCTTTTTTTGAGAAACTACTACTTGGGAAGCAAGGGAAAGGATTTGGAAGGACTTGGGGGAGAGGAAAATACGATCAAAATGTATTTAAATTTAAAAATTGTTTCAGATAATAAAAATATAATGTTGCAGGATACTTGATCATACTGTAAACCCCAAGATTGCATTATTTACTGGAAAAAAAACTGTTTCTAGTTGTGGTATGGCTCATTCATAACACATACATTTAACCCAAGAGTTTTCTGCTTGAATATTGTAAACATGATTAAATAAAGTCAATCATAGGTCAAGAGGTGGAGCAGTTGACAGGAAGTGAATATAGGATTATCATGAAAAAAAATTAGAGAGTGAGAGAGAGTCAGGAGGATGGGTAGAGAGATACATAGGAAGTAGAAGGGGGAACATTCTGTTTGAGGAGTCTTGTTTGAGAAGGCATAGGGGAAAGGAGAGTCTTATGGGACATCAGATGAGGAGAAAGGCCATCTGAGTGTTTTCTCTGCCTCTCTGAGCTAGCAAGCGTTCATCCCCGCATATGGCTCTTCAGTCTTTATTGATAAAATTAAACAATTAAGATTTTGTTAAAAACAACATTTGTCACCCAATATCGGGCACAGCCACATGGACAGGGAAATCATGCCAGCTGTGGACAAACTGAGAAGCCATCAGATTTGGTAAGATACCTGGGAAGTCCTCAAGGAGAGACTCTAATATGAAAAGGAAAACTCTTCCCCATGTTAAGGATGGGAAATATCATAATACAGGGCATTATGACCCTATATAGTGCTACTTTAGATGACTTGAAAATAGAAGCAGAAAATGAAAAGATAAATGGCTTAACTGAGATTGACATAGTACTAATAATTACTATCAGTCTGGAAATTTGTATTTTATCCCTAATAGTAGTTTTTTGTGCCAAATATGAGAAATGGTTTAATAATTATACCAAATATGAACAGTGGATTGATAAGGTACAAGTCTTAGAAAGACTTATGAGTGAAAATAAGAAAAATGCCCAAAGACAGAGGAATTTAGACAAGAATCTACCATGCCAACACATAATGAAACTGAAGAGGGGTGGGACAAGGTTCTTAGAAAACCAACCTTAGCTTAGTCAGTTACTATACAAGAACTAACATCAGACAGTAGGCATCTCCAAGGTTATGAAGAAGTTAAATTGACTCCTAGAGAAATTCTGGATTTGAGGAGATTTAAGGAAGTGGTAATTTCATATGGTATACATATGCATATCTCAAAGATGTGTTGACCTCAGAGTGGAAACCAGGATATGTATTACATTAGGGAATTGGTTTTGCCTTTGTTTTCACAGAAGAAAAACTGTGAATGCTGTCAAGATTGATAAAGATTAGATTCAAGCAGGAGAGACCTCCTGAATAAAGATAGGTGTTAGTTCATTACACAGCTTGGTTCTTCAGTCCAAATTAACTTAAAAAGACTAACATATGTCTTTCAATTGATCAGACATGGAAAAATAAAAATACAAATAATATTATTTTTAATGATAATTTACTAAAGGCACACGTGCCTTACTGGCATGAAATTAAAAATGGGTTTCCTTGAACCATGTGTCTTAATTTCATGTTTGATTGAAACTGTAGATTTCCATGCAACAGTCTACATGCCATCTTGGACATCAGCTTTTGAGGGTTCTTCTTAAATAATGAGGATATTTTTGTTGTTTTGGTATTAAAAACATATTTAAACTATAAAAAAATTTAAGTAAATTTAAAGTGTTACTATAGTTCAAGATTGTTTTTAAATCTCAATGAGTTGGAGTTACTTGAAGCTAAAATAAAATATTTGAGCAGGACACTAGAGCTGACCCTGCAGTGGGAGGGGGTCACAGGTGAACCATCCCTGAGGGCAGGAGAGCAGGAGAGCTGACCCCGTCTTCTGTATGCCCTCTACAACAATCAAAAGAGAGGGCCGTGCACCTTGCCTGGGTAAAACAATAGAGCTGACCCTGGGAATATAAGTATGGGGGACTCAGATATGAGGGTGTGAGCAGGAGAACTGGTCACCCCTCCTTGCTGTGGTCTGCATCAGAGGCAGGCACATAAGAATTAGTGATTGGAAATTAAAAGCCACTTGCAAAAGGCAAACCAAAATTCAAAGTGAATGTCTTTTGTAATCTAAAAATAAACACTCTTAAACCTTGAATTTATGTATAAAAAGAACAGGAAAATAGGTATGTTTATCTACACATGCTACAGTATATTTAATTTAAGAAGAATTTTTTAATTAAAAGATAATACTTTTATGTTGCCAAAAAAAACCATTTTGCCCTAAAAAAGATATAACCTACCAAAAAAGGAATCCCCTTTTATTATATTGTTGTTAAAATGTAATAAGAAAAGAAAGCAAGTTGCTTATAGACTGTATGGTAAGGTATTAGGGGGATGTCAGCTTAGGAATAATGTCATTAAGTTTGCCTTTATCAAGTACCATGCTCTTAGGCAAAGTCCCAACTTTTCTTAACCTCATTTTCCATTTAAGGGGGAAAATTTTTGTAATGCTAGAAATTAATCTCAGTGCCTTAACAAACTATGTGAGTGCCCTAGCCCTGCCCTAAGTCCGCAGCACAGAGATTAAATACTGTGTGTAACACTGAGTCCAGCATACCTGTACTTAAATAGTTGATCAAGTTCTTTTAGCCCCTTGAGTTAACATAATTTAATAAATAGCACAGTGTGAAATGGTCTAAAATTTCAGGGATGTCTCCTGGTTTTCCTCTTTTCTTTTCTATACTGATAGAAAATTTCTGATTAAGGTTCACAGCTGTAGCTGATGTTCACAGTAAGGATTCAAGTGATGTAGATGCTTTTAGTTTTTAATAGATCAGGTTTCAGATCAGATTTTCCATTGTAATTTACCTCTCAACTCTATTTTTATAAAGGAATTATTTATAAAATTCTTAAAATAGTCTTGCCTTGGTTTCCTACCAGTACAGAACTCTTTTATTATTTTTTTTAAAAAAAACTTTTTTTAAGAAAGAAGATAAACTATATTACTATTGCTGACATAGACCTGGGGGTGGGAAAGGCTATGACAATGGATGGTCATTGTCCCTTGTCATGAATATTTGTTATTTGTCCTGTTTTGTTGCTTTCAAAACTAAAGTAGCCTGTTGGGTTTATAGTAGCACAGGTGCTTAATCCCAGTACCTGGGAAGCAGAAGCAGGCAGACCTCTAAATTTAAGGTCATCCTTGTCTACACAGTGAGCTCCAGGACAGCTAGAGCAACATAGTGAAACCCTGTGGGTGCAACGGAGCCAAGCTTCGTTCATATCTGTAATTCTAACATTCCGGAGGCTGAGACCAGATCCTGAATTTGAGGCCAACCTGGGATATAGAGCAAAAGTAAAAGGAGTTAGTGTCGTTCATTATCAGTGCAAGGGTGTGTTTAATCCTTTCAATCCAACTTAACTTTGAAAATAAAACCAGTAATGTGTCGCTTGACCCAAAAGAGTTAAATCTGCTAGATTTTGCCTCACGTGCACCTCATCACATTTATTCTCAGCACTCCACTTTCAGTGCTTCCGACTCTTTGGTGCTTACTATGCCAACACTGGAAAAATGAATTCTTCCCAGCATAAAGGCATCAAATGAGTCACATATGTTTAGTCACTAGAACGAAAGTGGATTAGGACTTCTCAAAATTGGAAAGGAGAAACTGAAAACATGTTCGAGACTGGGTATGCTTGGGATTTGTGATCATTTAATTTATTTTAAAATAGCAAGACTGTAAAACTCTTACTATTTGAGGGGATGCAAGTTTTTGTCATCAAAGCTAAAGCTGAAATACCAGGTCTATTGAGTCGAATAATACCTATTTAAGGCAAGCTAGATACCATGGTCACATTGTTTTCTAGTAGCAAGGGGGCAAAGGAAGTAGAGATGGAGACAGAGTCATAAAATTGTTTACATTCCATCCGCAATCTCTTACTGTATTTCTAAAAAAATGTTGCAGAAAAAATTCATTTCTTAAAAGGTTTCCTTTATTTTTAGGGACTCGTCAGACTGTATTTGGACAAGGCCACCCTAGTTTGGAATGGAAATGTTGTTACAGGGCTTGAAGCCCTTTCTAATTTTTTTGAGGCATTGCCTTCCAGTGAGTTCCAAATCAATACGCTGGACTGCCAACCAGTGCATGGTAAGATCACAATCTTCCAAAGTATCTCCTTTATTTGCTGTTAGTAAACACTGAGGTTTACACCTAAAGCAGCAGTAAGTTTTAATAGGAGATAGATTTACTTGTTTGAGCAAGTGAAGTGTCACGAAAGGTACTTTATACAGTCAAGCTTTGGGATTGTTTGATGCTTTTCACTCCAGAGAACTACCATTAAATTTGGAATAGTGTATGTTTATTGGTTATTACAACTTATATGAGAAATTGCATCGCTTTTCACTCCAGAGAACTACCATTAAGTTTGGAATAGTGTATGCTTATTGGTTATTACAACTTATATGAGAAATTGCAACTAAATGTGATTTTTGTTGAAAGGGAGTGTCTACAGAAAAAAATTTATGCCATATAATAGATTAATGTGTTTGAGGGTCAGTTAACATTTCAGAAAACTGTATTTTGTGAAGGAATGACTTAGGACATGACAGAATTTGATTCAGAGTAGATAGATGTAGTACACCATTTTTACCTCTAGATGGGGTACTTACTATCTTAACTAATTGTTTATAATGGTATTTCTCCTTATAGTTCCTGAAGAATGGCTTAAGAAGCAAACTGTGAATGACGTTAGATATCTAATGAGATATTAATACATGTAGGAAACAAATGGTCAGGTTAGATTAATAATCTTTATTTTGAAACTTGAGAGTACCCCATAAATCTTTCTGGATAGACAAATCATCTTCATATTTTTAAATATTCAATTTTTGACTTTGGGATGTATGCTCAAAGGACAGAACATGAAAATCTTTAGCATTACATCGTAAGCTTATTGAGACATGTAAATTGATATCTTTCTCTTGTTTGTGTTGCTAAAGAGCAAGCTACCCAGTCTCAGACTACAATTCTTGTTGTGACCAGTGGAACCGTAAAGTTTGATGGGAACAGAAGACACTTCTTCAACCAGAATTTTCTTCTGACTGCACATAGCACTTCTAACAGCACCGTGTGGAAGATTGCAAGTGACTGCTTCCGTTTTCAAGATTGGGTTAGTTGCTAAAGAAGCAAAAGCCCATTCTCTAAGTCCATTAATTCCAGCAAGAGAAGTTGAATGTTAACTAATATATTTCATTGCAAACTATAAACCAGTATTGCTGAAACAAAATGTATTGTTTTTTTTATTGCTAGCAACACTTTTGATAGAGCAGCTGCCAGTTTGAATTATTGCACCTAAGAGCTTTAAAGATAGATTTTTTTCGTACTTTATGTATACATTCCACTACTGATATTCTCAGGGCAATATTAAACTTGATCTAGGTACTAAGATTGTGAATCCAATCTATTGCACAAATGGAGTCCTTTTGTAATACTGTCTGTGGAAGAGCACAACATAGCTCTGAAAGAGGAAGTAGTGGTGTTACGGTTATTAAGATAATTTTTCAATGAAACACATGCCTGTTTATGATTAACACTGGTCATATGTTTTAATAGTTAAGTTTAGATGTTTGAAGTCAGTTCAACTTAGTTTATACTAGTACTCTGACATATTTGAATTACTAGAAGTGTTTTTTAACACAGCCCATTTTTATTTTTTATCTTATATTTCTTTTTATAATCCATATTGCTTTATAATCCATATTCTAATCCATATTGTTTTCTTACTTTGACATGTATCCTTTTGAAATGAGGTGATCAACTAGATATGTGAAAAATGTTCTCGACTGATTCTTGAGTTTTGGGTGCTTTTACTGGCAGTAACACCTTTTAGACATTTTCTTGGCAGCTTCAGGTCAATATATTTCTGTGATGAGTAGCAGTGAGACCCAAAGCTTTAATGGGAGAACAGGGAATAAGAAATGTAGAAATTCAAGACTGAAGTCAAAAAATGTGAGAGATGATCAAGTGATAAAATAAGTTCTAGTTTCCTCCTGGTAGTATAACCTTGTTTGAGGATTTAACTCCCAGAGTCTCTAAGTATTCTTGCCAAATGGTCAGAAATTGGCTTACATTCTAAGAATTGTATTTTAAGATCTTACTTCCCTTTGTACTTGTCTCCAGTATCCATCCCAGTTTCTTCAAGAACTTCTACAAGTCAGCCATCAGCAGTAAACTTAACTGGGTGACAGAATCTGCAAATTAGGGCAAAACCTACTGCTGTCTCTGTACATACATAAGGTTTCCCCATCAACTTCAGACTCCAAGACTTCTGCATATTACCCACCACCCACATGAATAGTTTTCTCCTCTTGTTCTGTACTGCCGACTTATTACTTACAATTTAAAGTTGTCTTCAATTTTGTAATTTGTTTTTGTGTAGCACTGGATAAAAGAAAAATCAATATTAAACCATCTCTGTGGTCAAAAACAGAAAAGATCTTCATGATAAACTTCAAAGGAACAAACTCATTAATTTTATGTCTTCTAAAAACAAAAAGATATATTTTTAGCTTTTAGCTAAACTTTAAAATTATTTGTAATTTTTAAATAGTTTAAGCTAAATATGCTAGCTTTGTTCTTTAGTACAACCAAAATTAAATTTTTACTACTCAATTTTAAAAATATAATTTAGTTTGGCCCAGAAATAAACAGTGTATTAATGTTTTATAAAAATTGAATTAAGTAGGACGGGATGGAATTGATATTAAAATCGTGCCTTATTTCAGTGCTTAGCAAAACTTACACATTCTATTCAGTTTGTTTACTCTTATTTTGAATTAGTTTTTCTTGCCTACATCTTTAGCAGAAACAATTAAAATACCCAAGTACTGCCCTTTCTGTTGCTAGAGAAAAGTATCAAAAGCTATGTACAGCTAGCAATAACAAAACTGAACCATTTTGAATTACTTTATCCATACTCTGTATAACTCCATTATCTGTATGACATTTAAATGGCTGGAACTTCTCATATGTGGACTAAACTCTATATTTGACATCTTCATATTTTTCTAACTTGAAAAATATAATAAAAATTGCATTTTGACAAGTTTTCTCAAGTGTTTCTTCTTTTTTTAAAGGATTATTTATTTCATGTGTATGAGTATTTTACCTGCATGAATCTTTTGCATCTTTTTTTTTGTGTGTGTGTGGTTTTTTGAGACACGGTTTCTCTGTAGCTTTGGAGCCTGTCCTGGAACTAGCTATTATAGACCAGACTGGCCTCGAACTCAAAGAGATTTGCCTGCTTCTGCCTCCCGAGTGCTGGGATTGAAGGCATGCACCACCGCCGCCCGGCTCTCAAGTGTTTTTTTAAGGTGTTTTTGTATTAAAGGCCCCCAAATGGGAACCTATTCCTTTTAAGTCTTCTTAAAACAAAGAAGAAAAATGTTAAAATGTTGAAAACAATGGTAGATAACTTTGGCTTTTTTCATTCTCATTTCTACAGTCCATCTTTTTCTCCCCATTTCCTACTAAGTATTCTCATTGCAATTCTTTGAAGTTCCAGTGAAGTTTGGGGTGAGAAGTTAGAATTCTTCGCTGGAGAAAATAACCAAAACATTTATTCAGTAAGCATTGAAACAGAATACAGTTGTGTTCTAGAAATACTTCTTCCTTCAGATTTAATATTACATTAAAAATATACTAGGAGAATCTGGAGAGAAGGTTCCATGATTAAGAACTGGTGCAGTATGAAAGAAAAAAGATGAACCTTGGTGTTATTTATACAAGAGTTGGCCTGATTTGTGCAGAAGAGTTCCAATCTCGCCCCTGTCCTCATCGATCTCTTGAACAAAGGCTGTCTTTTTGTTTATTGAACATAACAGCAAATATTGTATCAAAAAGGAATGAGGAACTTTTGTTATAACCCTATAACAGAAGTCTTGCAAGAAAGGAAATTGGTTTTTTGTTATTTTGACTCAGGACAGTACACAAAACCATATATATATATCTCCCCTATGTTGCTTTCAACATTTTTCTTAGCAGTTGAGGTGGTCATTGCTTTCAATGCCTTGCTGTTTTCAACAAATGGTCTTAGGTCTAGCCACAACATTTTCTGCACATGCTTTGTTCTGATTAAAGGGTAAGTGTAGTATTTGGGAAGAAAATAAGAAGTCAACTAAGCAAATAAAAGCCAAAAAGCTAATCCTTTTATTCTGAAACTTTGCTGGATTATCTATTGCCAGAAATTAGAGGGGAAATTTGATAGAAAATGCTTTCATTTGAGGTTTATTGTGACGTAGGAAGGAGAAGTCTGCTTTATTCTGGCTGATGTAATAACCCAGCATTCAGGATGCAGAAGCAGGGGGATCTCTGAATCTGAGTCCAGCCTGGTCTACAGAGTGATTTGCAGGACAACCAGAACCACAGGAAAAAAAAGATCAAATGCAAATACTCCATGTGTTTTAACATAGCCACATATTTATCAGGAAAATGGTAAGCCTTTTGGATTTGAGAGTTGATTGTAAATCAGAGCATTTTGTCAAAGCATTACCAAACTGTTCTAGTTAGTATGATTCCTTTGCCAAGTCCTTCTGCACAAAAGATTTTTCATTGGGCTATATAGTTAAATCTAGCCTTCTACAAAAGAAATTAAAGGTAGAGAAGTGTACAGATTATTGTTGCAGTAATGTGTCAGATGAAGGCTTTTAGGATACAGCATATATCTGTGATTAAATGTGTAATACACTTCCAGATAGCGAGGGCTGGTGAGACTACTTAACTGTTAAGAGCACTAGATGCTCTTCCAAAAGACCTGAAAACCTGTGTTCAGTTCCAGGTATCCATATGGTGGCTCACAACCATCTTTTACTGCATTCCTGAGGTATCTGCCGCCTTCTGGCCTCCACAGGAACTGCATGCATGTCATATTCAAGGATATATGCAACCAAAGCACCCCTATACATGTCAAAGAAAAACAAGTCTTAAAACATTATACCTCCAGATAGTTTGTACAAAGTTTACTTCGACTCATAATCAGTAAATTTTACTTCACAACCAATTATTAGAATGCACAAATAAATGAAATGTAGCTATCTAAAATACAATTCATACATAACCACATGTGATATACTCATAGAACTGTTTTTACTTATTTACTTTTATTTTTCAAGGCAGAGTTTCTCTGTGTAGCCCTGGCTGTCCTGCAACTCACTCTATAGACCAGTCTGGCCTTGAACTCAGAGATCCATCTGCCTCTGCTTCCCAAGTGCTGGGATTAAGGACATGTGCCACCAGTGCCCTGCATGGCATTATATTATAATTTCATTCTATTATTGTTTTGTTAATTCCAGTTACAACCTGATCAGCTAACTTTCACAGCATCTTAAAGGATTGAATCAATAGTTTGGAGAAGATAAAAATTGAACCACACATATTATTGTCACTATCTATCCCTTTTTTTGTGGGGAATGTAGGGTCAGCTTCCAAAATAATGAGGCTGTGTGTCAGTGATGTCACCCTAACTCACAAATTATCAAAAAATGTTCTCTCATGCTTGTCTTCTTTAGTGAAGGCAGTTGTACTGGTTACTTTCTATTGCTGTGATATAACACCATGAACTTAACAAAGAAAAAGATTATTTGGTATTAACAATGCCAGATAGTATCCATGATAACAGAGGAGAGATGACAGGAACAAGGAGCTGAAAGCCCAAATCTTGAACCACAAGCAGGATTCAGAGAGAGGGAACAAACTGGGAATGGCTCATGTCTTTAAACTGTCAAAGCCCAACTTCAGTGACATACTTTCTCCAATAAGAAAAAAAACATATACCTTTCTAAGCAGTACCACTAACTGGAGAATGAGTGTCCAAATTTCTATGGGGGTCATTCTCATTCAAGCCAATAAATTCCATGGTGTTTTTCTCTTGAAACCATACATTTTTATTTTTTTTAATTTTGCTTCAAATGATCTTTTTTTCATTGTTGATCTGAATAAGTTTTAAGTGAAAATAGCCCTCATAGGCTCAGATGTTTGAATACTTGGTCCCCAGTTGGTCAGCATGTTGGTGTGGGAGGTCCTGTCTATATGTTGCTTTTATTGGTTAATGAATAAAGAAACTACCTTGGCCTATTGATAGGGCAGAACCTAGGTAGGCAGGGAAAACTGGACTGAATGCTGGAAGAAGGAAGGCAGAGAGAAAGATGCCATGGAGCTGCCGCCGGAGACAGACGCTGGGAACTTTAGCCAGTCAGCCACTGTTATGTCGCGATACACGGATTAATAGAAATGGGTTAAATTAAGATGTAAGAGTTAGCCAATAATAAGCTAGAGCTAATGGGCCAAGCATTGATTTAATTAATACAGTTTCTGTGTGATTATTTCCGTTCTGGGCAGCTGGGACTGACAAGCAGCTCCTTGCAGCAGCATGTTTGGGAAGGATTAGGAGGCATGGCCTTGTTGGAGGAGGCATATGCTATGGACAGGTTTTTATTTGAGATTTCAAAGTACTAGTGCCACTCCCAGTGTCTCCCACTGTCTATCACTAGCAGCTTGGTTTAGAAAGGCTGAGTTCCCTGGAAGGAAACTCATTTACATCACTCCCACGGTTTTGGCACTAGAAGAGTAGAAAAAAAAAGACCTAAAAAGGAAGTATATGACTGCTCCTATGTATGGTAGAGGAGAAAGTTTATTGTAGATGAAAGGGAGAGCATGGGCAGAGACAGAGATGTAGAAATCTAGCAGAGTCACTGAATCAAGGTAACATTAAAACAGAAAAGTTTTTTTTCTAAAAGAACTTTGACCTTGGAGAAATCTTGGTGGAAATCAGTGGTTGTTGTCTGGGATTGACAGAACTGCTTTTCTGAAGCAGCTTGGGAGCCTTTTCATGACTTTAGTTACAAGACAGTCCTGGCAAACCTGGAGCTCTTGAATATTTGGGTTCACAATAAAGACTAAAGTGGCCATGGCCAGGTGTGTTGCTTTCCTTCAGAGAAACACATTAGATCAGGGACTTTGGTATGAGGAATTGTTTGCCTAAAAGATTTTGTGTAACAATCAATAAAATATGCTTTGAACAGCTGTTTGAGGTTCAGTTCATCAGAGGATGGACATTTCTGCTGCCACACAAGCCTACAATTCATCTTGAAGTTTCTCTCTTTCTTTAATGGTCTCGCACAACACAGAACACTTGACACAGAGATAATCTGGTAGAGTCCAGAGAGGATAAGACCCTGAGCTATGTGAGGAGAGAGGGGAGGGGTAAGGAGGTGAAAAAGAGGCAAACCAGGTGCTGCGGTCAAGAGGGGAAAAGTTTTACTTTTTAAAATTTTTTTTTAAAATAGATTTTTTTATTGAGTTCTACATTTTCCTCTGCTCCCCTCCCTGTCTTTCCCCTCCCCTTCAAAGCTCTCCCAAGGTCCCAATGCTCCCAATTTACTCAGGAGATCTTGTCTTTTTCTACTTCCCATGTAGATTAGATCCATGTAAGTCACTCTTAGGGTCCTCATTGTTGTCTAGGTTCTCTGGGATTGTGATTTGTGGGCTAGTTTTCTTTGCTTTATGTTTAAAAACCACCTATGAGTGAGTACATGTGATAATTGTCTTTCTGGGTCTGGGTTACCTCACTCAAAATGATGCTTTCTAACTCCATCCATTTTCCTGCAAATTTCAAGATGTCATTATTTTGTTCTGCTGTGTAGTACTCCATTGTGTAAATGTACCATATTTTCCTTATCCATTCTTCAGTGGAGGGACATTTAGGTTGTTTCCAGGTTATGGCTATGACAAAAAATGCTGCTATGAACATAGTTGAGCACATGCCCTCGTGACACAATTGAACATCCTTTGGATATATACCCCAAAGTAGTATAGCATCCTTTGGATATATATCACTTTTGTGTATATATATCAGGGCCCTGCAGTGTTTGCAACAATTTACACCCCACCTAAAGGGGGAGACGTCCTGTTATAGGCCTTGTTGTATCACCGTTTTGAGAGTTTTCAATGTTTCAGCTATGGGTAGCAAGCCATCCATGTCCATCTCCCCTGGGGTGAATGCCTTTTAGAGGCCCTAAAACCACAGGTTT